GTTGTCGCTACAAATCATCAATGTATCTGGAGATTCACTATGGATGAATGTGTATTGAATTCTGTTCTTTTTTTTCCATTTTATCTTTCCTTCTTCATCTCGGTCGATCGAGCTTTCTGACGCCATATTACCGTGTAATGGATGACGTGTGATTTCATGAACATATGCACACTCTGTGAATAGTCCGATTGATGCTCTCTTATTACATTTGCCATTGATCTATCTGAATGCAATAGATAAGCTTGCTTTTTTTCGCTTCAAATTGCAACTGATGATAGCAGACGTTCGCATTTGCATTGCTTACGAAGCAGCATGTTTTAAGGCACAGTATTAATGCTAGCATATCGATTGTTACAACAGCGACGCATACACGGATCTCGCGCTCACAATAGCCGCACACACATCTCTCGTGCTCAGTAGCCGTCGCAAAAATATATCACGCAACGTTTGTTGTATGCGTGTGTATGTTTGTTGATGCGACGGCTACTGAGCACGAGAGATGTGTATGCGTCGCTGTTGCAACCATCGATATGCTAGCATTAATGCTGTGCCTTAAAACATGCTGCTTCCTAAGCAATGCAAATGCGAACGTCTGGATGATAGCGAATTTTGGTTTCAATTTCATTTCCATCGACCATTCCATATTGGGCATATTTTCAAATATTGGACCTATATATGAACCATTGCGACAAACAAATTCCCTCAGAACATTTTAGTTTCAAAGTACAACATGAAATTTCTTTTATATAGAGTTTACACAACAACAACTCCATATGAAAAAGAAAAACTTTATGTTGCACTTTAAAACTAAAATATTCTGAGGGAATTTGTTTGTCGCAATGGTTCATATATGGGTTCAATGTATCCAATGAAGTGCAGGTTAATTGTGACAGTTGTGCCAAAAAATTACACCAACAACAACGAAATAGATGAGGAATTTCTGACGATCAACACCGCACTGACTGCCTGACAACAAAAAAAAGAAATCGAAAGTCACTCTCCGTGTTTTTTTTGGGCATCGCTTGCTTATTGTGCATACTATTGTGTGTGCATTTCGGCTTGACTGGATTGGGCTAAATAACAAATGGAAAGAGTGTCGAGTGTGAGCATAGTAACAAAAAACAATTAATGATGAAAATGACATTAGCCAACAGCACACATGTTTTTTCCCCTTTTTTTTCAATCTGAAAACACTTTTTTTTAGTCTTAGTCGGTTGATTTTGCAATACCGACCCACAATCAATAGCAAACAATTGAAGTGGCTGATCGCAGGCAGGGCGTTCGTACGGACAGCTAAATTATTGGCAATTATGTACTTGTGCGCATTTACCTTTGGTCATTGTTCGTACAATGCGACCCACCGATCTGACACTGAGAGAGAGTGAGAGAGCAAGCGAAAGGTTGTTGAATTCACACCGGAATTCTGCGTTGACCTTGAATCCGGCGATCGCTTGAGATGCATTAATTCGATTATGTGCCAAAATCATGGCATGACTTGATGTTATTATACATCTTAGCGTGTGTATTCGGAAATCCCTACAGAAAAAAAAACGGCATTTCAATAAAACATCGATAAACCTGTCGATTGAATGCAACATATCATTCAAATCGATTGGATGGGTGTCGTTTCTTTTTATTGTAATTTTGGCTGTCGTCAAGCAGCGTGTGTTATCGCATTTGATTGGATTTTGGGTGCATGTAAATGAGGATTTCATAACAATGCCAAAAAGAAAGAAGTGAAGACGAGCACGAAAAATGGGTTTGCGTATTGAAAACGCACCATAGCCCACGTAAAATGAAGCAAAAAAAAAAAACTTTCTACGTTTTCGTGAATTTCATCACAGAGAATAATACCGATGCGATAACTACACTCGTCCAGACTGCAGTTTCCATTTGTTTGGACCAGAGATCGGGCAATCAATAACAAAAACATTCAAATTCATCGGAAATCATCAACACAAAGCCACAATGGCTACGACAAAAAAGAGAGACAAGGCACAAAAAAAAGCACACATTCAGAAGAAGGAATGAAATGGTATGTGCAAATTATGTATGCAAATATGTGCAAATTTTTTGGTATGCAAAACCGGTATAATAAATTTCAATGGCCATGGAAAAACGACGCGATTCGATTTTGCACAGCAAAGAAGAAGAAAGTTGTGTGACCAAGCAACGACACTTTTTTTCCCCTCTTTTTCTCCCGGCTACTCGTCGAAAACTATTTTTTCATATGTCTTAATAATCTACTCCAAATTGGAACCCGTTCCGTAACATAGCGGTCAATCAGACCAATACAACGTACTCATTCGTACGCGCACTGCACACTCCTACCTTGTTCAGAATAAGAGGTTTGATCATACAGTGCAACAGCAGCAGCAGCAATGCCGACGACAGCAACGGCCGCACACATCGAACCATATCACACATCACATGTACTGTTCCACAAACAGTATTTTCACTTTTTACCTAGTTGCCATTGTTGCTGCCGCCGTCGCCGTCGCCGTTCTGCCTGAATTCCATATAATTCCCTTGACTTGGTAATTTTCGAATATTTCCGTGCACAAAATATTCGAGACAGGCCAATAAATAAATCAGAATTTTTTCAATCGCCGGTGGCCTTACGCATTGAGAAGTTCAATATGAGCAACATGTACACAACATAGCATTAAAATTGCACAACTCCAAGAGCATCCACTCTAGTTAAGAGTGAAAACAAAAGAGAATGAAAATGAAAAGTAAGACGGCTTTTTTTCATTATTGAGGCGAACGCACAGACCGCCTTGCGCCCATGAGCACATTCAACGTGTGCTGTGCACGCACAGTTATCGAGCGAACGAGAGATGAAACAGAAAATTAATAACCCTATATTTGTTTCACTTTCGGCAAATCACTCTCATTCACTCCATTTCACTTATCGTTACATTTAATCCGCATTGTCTGTCGCAGCCACCGATCGCACCGACAATCAATTTCGATTCGTTTCTTTGGCGAGATTGCCGAAAACTCGGAGCATTTCGAACTCTCCCTTCATCACTTCTCGAGATTTTCAGAAGAATATAAAATGAGCAAACAGAGTGATACTCTTTACGTAATGCGTTTTGAATTACTAATTCATATCTCGATTGCATTGAATCTTAATGTCATTCAAACCAAAATGAAAGAAATAATTGTGCACTTCCTATTTGCGATCGATTGCATCCATATGCAACACACCATCCGAATTGGAGCGCTGGTTCATCAAATATCATCGCCGAAAACAAAAACAATTGAGCATATGACAGATATCATAATTTACCAATCAATGTGGACTGTCAATTGTCGAATTATATTGTGCCGAAAAAAAAAACTATAAACAGAATTGTGGTTGTCGTCACCGCTGTCGATGATTCACCCAAATTCAGTACCCGGAATCCAAGCGCGTCGAGGCGCACTTGAACATTTGACTCAAATCAAACAAACAAAAATAAATTCCATTACTTCAAACACATTTTCAATTCACTGCATAAATTTCGCTGAAGTGGATCGCCGTGCGCCCAAGCTGTTTTGTTGACATAATTAGTAATTATTTGATGTAATTGTTTTCTTTGAAAAAGTCTTTGCTGGATAGACGCATACAGAGACAGAGATTGAAGGAGAGAGAGAGAGAGAGAGAGAGAGAGAGAGAGAGAGAGAGAGAGTGAATGCAATGCCGCCAAATATAATTGTATGCCTTAGATGTGATGAATGAAATATACACTCAATCGTAACATTTCCGTTTACCTCAATGCAATCGACCCTGGGCGTTTTTGCTGCGGCTTTTTTCCTCCCTTCAAAACTTATATGTGTGACCCTAAAGCTTGAAAATCATACGATGATATGACGCAGGGCCAATTTGTATGAATAAAACCGGCAATATTTATTTATTTTTGGACGAAAGCACCGCACAACGCATTTACATTGGGAAAATATTATGGTTAGGTAAAAGAAAGAACTTTTATTATCATTTCAAATATGTTCTTCTATTTTGGCAATAATCAGATTTGTGGACATTTCCACAGAAAAACCTCATGAATATAGCAATATTGGTCTTTCAGCCCGAAATGCGAATTTTGTATAAGATATTTAGCTGATTTTTCAATATGAGAAATGCAATATTATTATTGTTGAAAAATTGAAAAAAATTTCCATCATAATACTCGTATAAAACCATGCGCATAGATGTTCGATGAATCTGAAGAATGTAAAATATTTACTTGTTTTGCCGAAACAGACAAAATAACCATCAAAAGCCATTGTTTATACAATGAAATATTGTTGATCGCTCGAGTCGTAATCATAAAAGTTATAAGTTCGAGCAAACATTCTTCAATGCAAGTTCAGTGCGTCGACGCATTTTCCGGGCCATAGTCAAATTTTAGTTTATTCAAAACCGTCATGGAAATAATTGATGAAACTGCAAAAAAAAAAGTAAACAAACGCGTATCGATGATGGAATTTTTGAATTGGGTTTTGGTTATATCGGGCTACGTTGGCTGGTTTAGTAAACTTGTTCTTTTGTCGGCTGAACATGGTCAAGCGAGAGTGTTATGACGAAGAAAGATTCAAGTGAAAATGCCAGTTCCGTAAGGAAGTTTTGGAAATTGCCAAAAAAAAAACCAACAAAAAGCACACCACAATTATCGTAAGCACATGAAATCATGGGCGATCGAGATTGTAAGGGAACGAGTAAGCGAGTGAGAGAGTGAGAGAGTGAGTGCGCACCGCAAAAGCCAAAGACAAAAAATCAACAAAGTGTTCGCAGCACAACAGCGCACTGTGTCTCAACCGTTTATGAGCAATCAACGCAAACTAACCACTGAAGAGCCGAAACATAGTACGCAAAAAAGTAACTACATGCACCACAGTGTGTGAACATACGCCACACACGTCATACGGTTCAATTTACGAAAATACAACGGCAACAGCACCAACAGAGAGTAGCACCAACAACAATCGGCAAAAATAATAAAAACGTCTCAGTCACTCTCTAGTGCCAAGCACAATAATAAGTACGGAGACATTGAAAGGGAATGATCGATAGTGAGCGAAGACTTCGACGAGACACTGCACAAATTTTTAAAATCATTTCGGATTTGAATTTAGTTGATCGGCATTCGTTTAAACGGTGTGAACCTAAAAAATCGAAGTGCACGAACATATTATCAGTTCATTTTTTTTCTCTCTTAATATTTTGTGTGCGTGTTCAATCAACAAGTGATTTTATTTTTATGTTCGATTGATTTGTTTTTTTTTTTTTACACATAATTACTTAAACGAAAATCAAATAAAAATTTCAATGAATCGGTTTTATTGATAATTTTTGAAATTTTCACCTTTTTCCAACGGATTTTTGTGATTTTTTTTTTTCTTCTGTTTGGTGTGTTTAAGATTTTTCATCGTTGATAACAATTCGGGGTACTTACATTTCATAGAATTTTTTTTGTCTAATAGACAGTTTTATCATCACAGCATGTCAAGCTGTGGCTTGAAAAAATATTGAGTTTTATCATCAACATCATCAACATCATCATCATCATCATCATAATATTCAAAACAATTGCCAATACCATTTTATTGGAACATTGCTTGGCTTGGTATTTTGATTTTCACATTTGATGATAATGAACACATTTTACGTGAGAATATCACCGAAAAATTAACCAATTTTTTCCATCGAACATTGAACAAGTGTCCGTTTCGTTTGTGTGAGTCTTTTTTCAAATCAACCATTTGGATATTTAAAAGGAGGAGAAAGAAAATGAAAAAAAAAAACAGTCAACAGGATTTTCTGATTCAATAAATTCCAAAATAATCAAAGTGATTTATTTTGATTATTGTGCAAGAAGAAAGTGGATCAATCAAATTCTAATGAATTGTGCAAATGAACGTTTTTTTGTTGTTGTTGGGTCAGTTGCTTGGACGATTGAACAAACGACACATTGAAAGTGTCTGATGTCAGGCGAGAGAGTCTATTTTTTGATAGCCGCGTGTTACATTGTAAACACATTAAATTGGTGCTAATTTTGGCTTGTAAGAATGACATTCGATTTCATCCTTTTTCTAGGAAATCTTTTAGACAAATTGACTTCATTCAATTCCAAGAAAAATGGAAAGAAAGAAGGACAAATCAAAAGCGTTAATGCCTAGCCGAAGAATGTTACAAAGAATCACAGTGTAAAAAATTAGTGTGATAACACATGATTGGCTAAATCGTCGAGCGTCAAACTCTTAAATAATAATGCAAGTCGAACTGAATACTGAAAAATGGGCTTGAACAATTAATTGCAATTGTTACTTAACAAATTCAATGAGGCACACATATTTTCTATGTAAACCAAAATAAAAGCATTTTTTGCTGCATAAAGAGAGAGAGAGAGAGAGAGAGAGAGAGAGAGAGAGAGAGAGAGAGTGAGAAAGACGATAAATATAAAAATAAGCGAAGAAAGCAAAAAAAAAGCAATCATGTGTAATCGCAATCGTGTTTCGTAGTAATCTTCTCAGGTTTCACTTATGTCACTTTTCATATGTGCGCGCGCGCGTGTGTGTATGTGAGTGCAGTTTAGTTCGATAATGCTATTCCATCGTTTAAATATTTAAATGCATTTTATTGGAATGTGCATGGTTTTGGAAAATCGATTTCGACATCATCTCCTCGGCCGACCGAGCGACAACAGACACGTACGCACACAAACCCATTCCTCTGTTGCACTTTCATCGCATTCAAATGCGATTTCAAAGCGTTGCGAGATTGAGTTTTGTATTTTAAATGCTTATTTGGCTCTCCAAATTTGGGAATGGGCTCGACATTTTTTGGCCCATTTTACAGCAACATTCCATTTTCTTTTGATGTGCGCCAACAACACTTGTTGTTTACCATTTTTCTGATCCGTTGGAGAACAGAACATTCAGCCGATATAGGGATAGAGAGAGAAAAGAAAGTTTATAATCATTATGGTTTCGCTTTCGATGGTGATTCTCTCCAACAAGTTTGAATGATAAAATGTTACCATTTTTTATTACATAAACGTACCACACACACACACATTAAAACTGCGGCGGTTGCGGCTGCTGCGCTTGCTGCTGTCCAATGTGCTATCGAAAGAAAAAGATCACAAAGATCACTCGAATCGAATATTAGCGAATACAATCAGTTGGACCGACCGAACGAAGGAAACACACACACACACACACACACATCTTGTGGGTTGTGTTTACATCGTGAGCGATACATAGCACAGTGATCCAGCATTCGATGTGAGGTGCGTATACACGCGAAATTGTTGAGTGAAATTTGGGCATTTTTCCCACGCTCTCAGCACTTTTACGTGCTATTTTTTGGTCGAAATGAAAGTTGATAACAGTGAACTCTCTGTTTGTATGCTCTTGCATGAAATCCTACCACGCGCGTGCTCGTATTCGCAACTATCGCACAATCAAGCATCACAATCGTCGGCAAGTTTATGTGTGACTCTTTTTTTTCATTCGTTTCTATCCTGTTCACTCATTTTATTTGCGTGGAAGAAAAACAGCCGTCTTAACTTATGAAATTATTGCGATCCAAAAATATTGCGAACTTTTTTTTTTAACAAATTGTTTGGCGTAAACAGTTTTACTCTTTTTTTCTGCTTCTTCCTCTGTTTTGGCATTGTTCAAAAGCTGTCACTCAGTCAGACTTTTATTTTCAGTAATCAATTCCGGGCGACTTTCGTCACATTTGGATTATGGTGAACATAACAAACTACTGGTCGCGCGCGATATACGGATAAAAATACGACAATGCATTCGATTTTCTCTCTCTGTCTCTCTCTCTCTCTCTCTCTCTCTCTCTGTTGAAAACGTTCGTTTTCAATAATAATTTAATCAAATAAATCACATAGGTGTCGCCTTGTTGTGTGTTTAAATCGCATACCCAGTCACATTATAAACATTTCTACAGCCATGCATGCAATAGATGAGATGTGCTTGGGATTGAAACGCGTACACAAACACACACACACATGAAAATTGAACGATCGACGCGCGATTTCCCATTATTACGATTATATCCACTTTACCTTGATTTCTATCCAATAATGTTCAATGACTCAATTAATCATACACTAAATTACGTCGATAACATACATATCGTGTTGTTGATTTTGTTTTTTCTTCTCTCTGCTGAAACCAGGAAAAAGCTCAATTTTGTGCGTCGTATCGAGGGGATATATTCAATATACGCACCTCAATTGCTCCCAATAAATAATCAAAATGCGAAATGGTTGTCGTGTGCTGGCGAGCGAGTGAGAGAGCGATAGACTAAGTGAGCTGCTCAATTATTATGATGTGTGAATAACAATGAATGTTAATTGATTAGTGAGTACACGAACACTCGAGCCTCGCTCGAACACACATTACAAGCACACGCCGATCGTATCAATTGGAAATTCATAAAGTTGATTCGATTACACATTTTCGAGACGATGTGCAAAATGTGAAATCTTTTTTATTCGTTTCTCTCTTGAGCGAGCGCGATTCGCCAGATGCAATTGGCTTTGATTTGTTTTGTTTCTCTTCATTTGTCTCTATTCTTCTGTTGGGAAATCAACGGGCGACAACTTGTGTTTATGTATTCCGAGTGTGTTCCAGTGCGGCATAAGCATTGAGAAAATGAAATTCTTTTGCATTGTCAATCGAATCAGATATAGAAATTCATCGTAGAAACGGGACGAACGATTCTCGGCTGCTCGATGCACTGACGCTGTATGGCTGTTTTTTTTTTCTGCCTGCTTCATTTTATCATCATTATTTTCAAAACTGAAATTCCAAGTGTTAATTTAAATCGCGCTTTAACACGATCAACGTGTAAATATTTACATTTCGTTTAGTTTGTCAAGATCGAGCGATTTGATTTCGCGGATTATCCCAAACATTCAATGACCATTTTTCTCTTGCTTGCTTGTCAGCAATTCCAATGTGGCCGACAAATTTAATTACTTAACATTTCTACTGAATTTTAAGCATACGTTCAATCAAATAGATATATGGCTTTTTTTCCTCTTCGTCGGCTCTTCCATTCAACTTAACTGTCTTCTGCACGTTTCTAATGCTCGCCACATTTTTCCATCGCGTGTGTGTGCGTGTGCGCTGTTACATAAATTCTAAATACAGAAGAAAAAAAATCCCGCATGAATAGTTTTCACGCCTGCTCATTCTTCTATTCATCACTACTTTTATGAACGCATTTTGAATGCGAAATTCTTATTGAATTGTGGCGCGCCCCATATGCGCGTCTCGCGTGAATATGTCATTCTTTACATTTCCCACCGACAGACAATAAGATTTTAAAAAAAAGATCATATAAAAAAACTATTTAGAACGTTGCGAATACACTGAATAAATTCGGAAATTAAACTGACCTTCGATTTGCGTTGCCTTCGATGCCTTAACAATTGGACATTCTGCTTAGAATCTATTGGCAAGAAGGTGTCTGTGTGTGTGTCATAAACAAAGCCAAATTGAAAGAGCAAAAATAAACTTGACTATAAAGAACAAGCTCCTTGATATATATAAAAAAATGAGTTTATTCCGTGCGTGATACATTGAGCACGAACAAAAACAAAAAATTCCGAGTCACATCTCTAATTTTAAATAATAATTCAACAAAAAAAAAAGACTTAAATTGCGACTAAGTAAAATTGTGCAGGAAAAAAAATCGTAAACTCCTAAATTTAAATGATTACGTCAAAAAGAAGCCGTTTTGGTTTATAAACAAAATGAGTGCATATGAAGTGGGTCTCAACAGCAACCCTGCGTTTTTTTTCTTCTTCATTTTAATCTCTAGTTGTCATCAAGCTAATAATCGCCAATCGTAGGCACATCAAAAGCTTTTGAATATTTTAATGGCTTTTTTTTATATGTTTTTTTATTTCTTCTTCTCCGTTTACAGTTTAATTTGCTGGATACATTGAAATCATTAAATTAACCGAAATAAAATAAATCCATTTAAAATAAAAGAAAAAAGAATGGATTTGGCCACCGAAAGTGTTGTTGTTGTGCCACCACTGGCTAAGGTCAACAACAACAGCAGTACCGATAGTGTAACAACGGCTACACTCGTCAACAATAACAATCAATTAATCATGGACGAAGAACTATTCACGCCGATACAAAAGTTTTACGACAATTGTAACATATTCATAACAGGTGGAACCGGATTTTTAGGCAAAAGTGAGTATTATCAAGTACCAGTTCACCATTCATTTGATCATATCGACCTTCCGTGTCTGTGTTTTTCACCACAAAACCCCACGTATATTTCTCTGAAATCAATTTGTAAGTGATGTTTTCTTCCCGTTTTGTTTCGTGTGCCGTTTCTTTTTCTTCTACATAGTGCTCATCAATAAATTGCTGACCTCATGCTCCTCCATCGATACCATTTATTTGTTGGTTCGAAATAAAAAAGGAAAAGATGTGCATTCACGTATTGAGGACATTTTCGATGATCCAGTTAGTATATCTCGTTTTTATTGACCTTTATCTTTACCTGTTAAATATTATTTTTTCGCTCCATAATCGTAATTTTTTCCGTCGGTTTCGTTTGGCCATTGAACAAAAACCAAATCTTGACGCGATTATAGCTTTTTTCGGAGAAAAAGAAAAACCATACATCATAAGTAATTGTTTTACATTGAATTTTTTTTTTTTTTTTTGGCAGATTTTCGACATAATGAAACGTAAAGTGCCGAAATTTCGTCGTAAAGTTCAAGGTGTTCCCGGTGATTGTATGCTGCCTGGATTGGGCTTAACATCGGCCGATAAGCAATTGCTTGTGAAGAATGTAAGTTTAAATGGTATAGCATGTAATTGATCGATGTGTCTTTGAAAACGGACAATCAGTTACAAATGAGAACATTCTTTTTGTATATACCGGTTGACAGGTTAACATTGTGTTCCATATGGCGGCCACTGTGCGTTTTGACGAAAAGCTCAAGATTGCCATGCAGATTAATGTGCAAGCATGCAAAGATGTCATGCAAATATGCAGCGAAATGGTCAATTTGAAGAGTATCGTTCATGTGTCGACGGCCTATACACAATGCCCACAACGTTATATCGAAGAGAAATTCTATCCGCCACCATTGGATTCGGGCGAAATGTTGGTATTGACCAAGTGTACATCGGACAAACTGCTCGAATGCATCACACCCGTTTTGCTGGATAAATGGCCAAATACATATACATTCACAAAGGCAATCGCCGAGGATGTGGTTCATCAACATGGCGCTGGATTGCCAATTGGAATGTTCCGTCCGGGTATCGGTATGTATATCAATGGTCTAGCCATTTTTTTTCATTTAGATCAATTCTAAGGGAAAACTTTCTTTCATTTTTTGCCAATTTCGATCAATTTATTTGCCATCGATTTGTTTTGAGATTTTTTTATTTCTCCCGATATCAATTTGATTTGCCATTTTTTTTATTCTTTTCTCATTGAAAATCTAATCTTTTTTCGCATTTTTATCTTCTTCTCTTTATCCTATCTACAAACAGTCATTTCGACTTATCGTGATCCCGTATCGGGTTGGATTGATAATTTCTATGGTCCAACGGGTGCGATAGCCGGTGCTGGTACTGGTGTCATTCGTACGTTGCGTGCAAATCCAAATGCTGCTGCCAATATGGTGCCAGTAGATCTATGTGTGAATGGTATTATTGCAACGGCATGGAATGTTGGCGAACGATATGCGGAGAAGATTTGCCCAATGACCGATATACCGGTTTTCAATTTCTGTACAGCACCGACAAATCAACTGACATGGGGTGATTTCACAATCAAAACAACAAAATATGGTCTCATGTATCCAACATTAAAATCAATATGGTATTTATGCTACGCAAATAATCCAAACAAATTCATGCATATGGCATCGATCCTCTTCTTACACTATTTGCCGGCACTGTTAATCGACGCGTTCGCCATTTGCATTGGAAAGAAACCGAGGTAAGTGATCCAAAGCGAAGTTATACGAAACACGCTATCGATCTAGCCGGTTCGTTTCGAATCAACAGTGAACGGGCAGTTAATAGTTTTTTTGTTTTGATTTTATGCATTTTTTTTTTCGAAAAAAAAACTATATTTTGTGGTTAATTTAATTTAACTCTGTTTGAAAGGAACAACAAATGAACTGCTGAGAATAAAAGGCTGACGATTGCAGGTTTTTCGCAAAAGCGGGATAAAAATCAGTTGCACGCAAAAGAGACATTTCAAAAGGTTGCACGCAAGAGAGAAGTATATTGTTGTTGTAATCACGGCTTGAAAATTCGAAATGCGACAAAATAAAATGTTCCGTTTGCGTGCAACCTTTTGAAATGTCTCTTTTGCGTGCAACTGATTTTTATCCCGCTTTTGCGAAAAACTTGCAATCGTCAGCCTTTTATTCTCAGCAGTTCAAATGAAGTAGAAGAGATAAAAAAAAAGCGTCATACGATTCCTTTATGTAACGCATATGATTAAAGTCCATGTGTGTGCTGTTGATTTTTTGCAGGCAAGCCTACATATCAACTTCACTCCAATTTGTTATTCTAATAAATAATTTTATATGCAGCAGCAGCAGTTTTTTTTTTTTTCGCTGATAGTCTAATCACAACACTCACATATCGACTTGTTCCATTCAAAACACGTGAACAACGTGTTACGTGTGCTGCTCTCTGCTGCTGATTATATCATCAATACCTTTCCATTTAACTCTCTTCGGCGAGCTTAATATTTTGACTGTGCTCTTTTTCATTCTCTCCGTCCTTTTCTTCTTTCTCTGCGGTCTGTGGCAAGATGCGACACACACTCACTCTCCTCACTATGTGTATACACTTTATGCGAACCAAATCGTTTGCGACGAGACTCTTGTTACAGCTGATCTGTTAGGTTTTGTGTCTGATTTAGAGTACAAAACAGGATTCAATTGCATCGACTTATTGCCTATGTGCTTTTTCTCTCTGTTTCGCTCTATTCTTTATTAAAAATTTGTCATACGGTGTGAAAATTCATGTGTTTGCCACTTCGATCTCATTGCAATTATCCGCACATATGATTGCTCAATATGCACAGACAGAATTTGCCAACCAACATATTTGATCTTTCTATATGCCTTTCTAATTAAAAGTAGATCTATGTAAAGAAGAAAAAAAAAAGGCCCGTGGCTATGCAACTGACACTTTAATTTTCATGTAACTGATGTATATTTCTTTCATATTTTCCGGTTTCGTTTCATTAGATTATTGAATACATACAAAAAAATTCATCGTTTCATGAATGTCATTGAATTCTTTGCGATGCGACAATGGGACTATCAGCAGGACAATCTAATCGAAATGTGGACCAGTCTATCGGAAAAGGATAAAGATATATTCTTCTTCGATATGAGACAACTCGATTGGGATCTATTCTTACAGCACTATTTCCGTGGTATTCGACAATATCTACTGAACGATCCATTGGAAACCATTCCGGAAGCGCTCGTTAGATGGAACCGGTAAGTTGAACCAAAACAATTTTATAATTTTTATTTTCAATTGAAGACATTTTCGAATCCGGTTTTTCCAGCCCTCAAGGCTAATGAAATATATAATATTTTGAAATATCTAAGTGAAACCCATTAAAAATGGACATAAATATTTTGGTGTCGATCGAAATTTAAACTTGTCGAATGATTGTCTAGAAGGAAATAAAAGTTTTTCAATTTTTCAATTTTAAATTTTTTTCCACGTCTTATCTTTCAAGTTGACATTTAAAAAAAAAAAAATTAAATTCTTACGGTTTGTTTGCAGGCTGTATTGGATTCATCAGTGCGTAAAAGTGGTGGTGTTCCTGATTTTGCTGCGGATTGCCTGGTGGTTGATGTCATTATTCATATAGATAATAATTTTTTGAATTACAAATGGAAAAAAGCAGTTTGATTATTATATATAGATTTACTTTTAGCGACTTAATAATTTGCTTGCAGCATTGAAGCACACATCACATGAGTGTTTTTTAATGATCATTTACCAAATCGTAAAAAAAAAACTTGGAAAAAATGTTACCAGAAAATAAAATAGTTTGTCTGCTCTTTGTTTTAAGTGGGCCGTTCTAAATCAAAGCAATTTCGCTTACCATATGATAAAACTACTTTCATTTCGGAATCGATACAGTTCGAAGCCATATTTATACAGCGAAATCATTTGAAGCAGAGCCAACATTTTTATGAAAATTATTAACGATAAATAATTATTAGCGCAACAACTACAACAACAACAAAAATCATGCTGACAAAGCAACAATAACAAAATTTATTAGAGATTTAGAAATTTGCAATAAAATGACACGCACGATGAGACAAAATGTATGTAAATGAAAAATTGTTTGTAGAATAGCATTAAAACTACTTGACTAGGACATGTTTAGGTTCAATGTTTAAATTCGGTTCTTTGGTGGGCATACGAATGAACCCATTCAAATCAATTACTGGTTTGTGTGTAAAAGGAGATATAAACTCTCTTTTTTCTAAATGTTCAAATCGTCAGCAATATTTTATTATTTTTCATATTTATACGAGAGAGTAAATAACAATAACAAAATGAAAGCATACACACACACACACACACACATATGTTAAAAATTGGAGATTAAGTCACGAATAGATGTAATGATTTCAGTAGGAAAGCAATTCAACCAATGAATGTTGAGATCACATAGTTTTCTTATTTAGACGAGTAAATAGTATTTCGGTGGAAGAATGGCGCATCGACACACCACATCACAATACGAAATGGAAACGAAGACGATTTTCAAGCCAAGCTCTCGGCCAAGTGTTTGACCATCTCGGTCAACAAATGGTCCATTGCATACGGAGATAAATCACCCTCTGCTAATTAATTAACTTTAAAAAAAATGGGACTGTGCATTCTCACTTCTATTGTCACAACAAAAAAAAAAAGTTTTTATTCATAAGTTCTAAGTGAACAATAAATCGTCTAAGCTCTTTCTTTCTGGAAAACAACACTAATTTGCGTTTTATTCATTTTAATTCAAAATATTGACGAATTTCTCCATTGCTTGAGGTGAACGAAGAAAATATGATTGGTTTAATGAATTGGATTATACAGCTGCTTAATACTGAACCGCATAATTGCGGTATGTTTTATTGAAAATGCGCAACAAAATCATGAAAAAAAAAACTTTATCTGGCTTCGAGGTCTCGACTCATTACGGCATCAAATTTTTATCACTACCTTTGGCATCGAAAGCCGAAACCTGGGGAATTAAAACTGAAAGTTTATGGAAGACTCGTTGCAGTCGTTTGTTTTTAATCATTTTTTTTTTTTCGTTCGTCCGAGGAGATCACTTTTGTTTCTTTTGTGGGTCATCGGCTATTCTCAGACATTCTCGAATGGCTATTAATGCGTCACATTTACGATACCAATTAATTAATCTTTCATGAATATTTCATCAAAAAGTAAAATCTTGTTTCATGTCATCGACATTCCAGCTGATTCATTTGGTTGCGATTTTGGGTTTCGTCAGAAAAGTTTGCCTTGAGATAACTTGATAACTTAATTGGAGTTTTGAACACATCCGCAATAACGTCTTCAAGATAGGTTTTTCTCTCCAGAAACATCTTATGATTCATGCAAATCGAATTAAGTCAGCAACGAGAGGAAAACGATAAAATGGCCAAAACTGCGTCAGTGTGGTAAATTTTCAGTGTCAATCTGGTTGAAAGTTGATACTTGGCAATGAGATGTTCCATGTTCTTGATTTTGGCTTTACACACATCGGCATTGCGTTATCGCACTGTGTGTGTTTTTTTTCACTTTATTTCATTTTCATATGCGTTTTCATGTGAAATAAGATTGAGAAGAAGAAAAAAAAAATGAAAAAGCGATTTAAAATCGTTGTTTTCTCAAGGGAAATAGTCTACGTTCGTGTTGATGAGCTAATTTTATGCATGTAGATTTGCTGTTGGCACTTTGTTTTTACCGATATTCGCATAAAATAATTTTTGCGTCTCTTCGTCACTTTCACGTCATCAGTTTTTTTTTTTCTGGGAAGAAAACAATTGGATCGATATGCATTTTTTTTGGACGATTTATCGACTAGCTGTTTTATCGCATCAATTGCATAACCCAACCGAAACGACGAGACTAATGCAAATGTGTTTTTTTTCCACTCAAACTTGAAAAACTCACAGATTTTTTTTCACCGTTTGATTTGATCATATTATTTAATCATACATTTCTGTACGATAACAAATGGGGTTTTAATTCAATACGTCATCCAGTTTATGCGCTAGAATATTTCACGGTAAATATGAGCACTTTTGACGCTGGTGATTCAGAGCCTAACAGCAATGGATAAAAAGAAAAGAGGGAGAGAGACAGAAAGAGAGAAAAAAAAGTAATGTAGTGAGCATAACCATCATTCTGAGTTGTACTTATAGTTCTATGAAAAAGGCATGAGCATAAAATTAACATAAAACATGAATAAATTTGAAATTGATCGAATTTCTGGTTTCATTACAATTCGATTTCAACATGCATGTGAGTGCAAACATGAATTTGGAATCTCCGTAAAATCCATGTGATATAAGCGAAATGCGGTGGTTGTGTTTGAATGTGCGAAATAACAACAAGTTTGGTCACAGCGACATAGTAGAGTAAAATGTTGATTTCAAACGAACGAACGAAAAAGAGGTTCTGGTCGTATGATTGTTACTAATTCCAGTAGCACAATTGGCATTTATCACGTCGACATTTATATAACGATTCTTTGGTGAAGTGTATCTATTGAACGTTAGGTAGAGCAATGTTGAAATGCATCAACACAATCGGCACAATGTACAAAATGGAAAACAAAAACAAAAACAACATCATTATCGAAATCAATAAATTCCAGTTGAATAGACCGTACTCTGTGTACGCATCAAATTGTAGCAATACGAGCCGAAAAAGCGAAAACTTAATTTGAATTTAGCACAACTTTCTGTATTTGGTTGTACACGTGGACAGCATTAATATTTCCACTTGATTGCACCGAAATTGGTCAATTGATAACAACAAATTTGTCGGTTATTGTTCATCAGACACACGCATATCGTGTGACGGCAGTTTGTAACAAAACGAGCCTTAACTTCAATCTGAACACAGCATAAAACACATTGGGCACCCAATTCATGTCCAATAAACATGGACACGCATACAGAGGCACGTGCGCGCGCATATAGCCTCTTACGCAGTCAAACAGATACACATACACACACTCAACGGCATACTGTCAACGGTAGTACGGGCACATACACAACGGCATAAGCACCATCGTGCGTTTGATTGTATGAGTACAAGTTCATTGTACACACTGTCTTTACACATTGACACTTTTCAAAATGTCTTCGCTATATTTTGAATTTTAACTGTTAATATTTCATGTCATTCTTTCATCTATCTAATGCAAACAGCATTCCAGTTCGAGTAATCCATTTCTCTCTCAATTCCATCATTTTCATCTTCATTATTCAATTTTCTTCCATGAAATTGATATCATTTATTCTATTACCATAAAATGCACATAATCAAACGAAACTAAATGGAGAAAGTGAATCAGTTGTTTTTCTGACTACGAAAACATTAGAATTTAAGTTCAACGAATTTGTGATTTTTCATTTTTTCGTTTGTTGTTTGTCTCTATCGGTTGCATCACATACACAATTCGTTTGCATGTTTGACATTTTGGTGGGTTACGTGAATTATTTGTATAGTAGCAAAAGAAATAATGAATCTAAATGCGGAAAAAATGAAACGAGATGCAAACGATACAAAAACTCATTGTTTAAATACGATGCTGGCCACAAATATGGTCACATCAACCAGTGTAACAACCATAACAAAGGAATTTCAAACGCCAAATTCAATACGAAAATCACGCAATGGGACATTCAATTCATTTCCAATTGTAAATACACCGACACCACCGTCAAGATTTCGCAAAATTGTTAATCCATTCGAAGTTGGCATCACCGAACGACTGCATTTGCCAGTGATTGACAGGTAAGAATTGTGGTTAGATTCAGTGTGAAAAAGTAGTTTCTTTTTTTTTATTATTCATTGTTTCATACAAAAAAGCATGCATTTGTTCGATTCCCATTCATTATTGACGTAAACATCACAAATTGATGACGAATACAGAAAAAAAATTGATAAAAATTTCACTAATAATTGATTCTGATTTCGAAACATTTCGTTAGTCCGTCATTATTTCATCGGCCGGCTACGCCACAAATGTGCTCAACACAGCTCGAATTTGAATGGACCATTGACGAAGTGTCATCACTGAATCCAGCCCATGTTGAAGCACACGAAACGCAATTCGTATCGATTGTCGATCCAGAAGTAGAGGCCAAGGCACAAGCCGCCATTAGTTCGTATTTTAAAGAGCAAATCATAGGTGAGACAATTTAAATCAATGACTTTTGACCCATGTTGAACATTGTTTCTCTGTTCGAACAAACAATTTGCCACGATTTGTCACAATATCCGAAATAATTTCATTTTCTCAACTCGCAAATCCAACTCAGTTCCTAGTCCCGATGACTGTCCGCTTCGTGATCAAAAAATCATTTTAAGTAGAGAAAATCAGCAACTGACGCGTGTGATGCGCAACAATAGTTGCCAGACTGAATTAACATTGCCACCGATATTGCCAAAGGAAGTTGAGGATGCGCTCCGACCGTATTTCACATTTATGCACGATCAACACAATACGCCAACGAAAGACTGTGATAGTCAATTCAGTACATCCATGCAATATGCATCGGTCATTGATCATGATGCACGCGACGCATCGTTGCGTCGAAAATTGTTTCAGAATTTCGTCAATACCAGTAGTGACCACAGCTCCGAATTTGAACACGATGTACATTTAGATAGTCCAGCACCGCAAACACCAGAAATGGTAAGTGAGATGACATTGTTTGATTTTTAAAGGGAATTTTTATCTATAAAACCGAATTTACCGAAATCAATTGGCCGATTCTAGCTATTTCTGAATGATTTTTTCAACGGATTTTGTTTCCATTTTACAGCGACTCCAAAGTATGCGAGCGCGTCGTTTTATGACACCATGCACCAATGCACAAGATGAAAATGAGCCACCGCTGGATGTTTCGTTGAATTCGGTTGGCCGAGAATCGTTTGGTTGTATATCACCGATATCAAAGGCGGTCACACCACAGTCCAGGCCGAAAAGTTTACCATCCTCCCGGAAAAAAGAAGATTCTGCATCGTCGTTATTTCGGAGCACACCAGACCGTTCGTCGACCGGTCGATGGAAATCATTCGACACCTCCCCCGATAACGCCGTGAACTCCAGCCACTCGAGCAAACGAAAATCCTTTCACATGACTGATGAGCGATCGTCTGAATCAAATGACACGGTAAATTTTTCCTATGACGACGAAATGCAATTGTCGTACGGGTCGCAGAAGCACCCACAAACGCCCACCATGAACAAAAGCAAACGACGATGCAGCTCAGTTAATCGAAAGAATCTGTCGCGTTCATTCAATCAACTTGAAGAGCACCAACATTCAGCTCTATCGCTTGACCGCACCGACAGCGGGTTCAACGATATGAATCTTGATTATACCTCAGCTCAGCATCAATTAAAACTCGAACAGAACTTCCCCTTTCATGATCTTATGAAGTGTAATAATTTTGCTGATAAAAACACTGACATTTCCATGGCTAGCATCAATTAAGTGCCCAATTTATTTTCATTTGTCTTCAATTGACTTTCGCGTATATCCGATTCATACACACAAAATTGGCAAGGCTTGTATTAATATCGTATAGGTTCTATATCTTTCTTCATTTCAAACTCTCTAGAAAATTGTAAAATATCTCATGTAACTGCCAATGTTTTCGCAAAGAAGAAAAAGAAATTATTCTCATTTATTGTATTATTGTATCTACCGAAATTGCATTAAATTTTATAACGAATGTAAAATGATTTTCTTGGGAGTTTTTTTTTGTTTCTATTTTGTTTCTTTCTTTTCGCCTGGCTGATCGAATTCCCCCAATTCGAACTCGTCCATCACATCTTGTTCAGTAGCATTCAATGAACGAGGTTCCGAAATAGATGGAATAGAAACGCCACCAGTGCTTGTGGGAAATATATTTGCGTTGGAACGTTTGCATTGGAATCAATGGTCACATCATTTGGGTTTGTTTTGGAGAAATTGATGATTTTCTTTTTGAAGTAGGTTCACCAGTTTCCGATTCTGTATCAGTTTCGGTCGCTGATCTTTTGCTGTAGACACCACTTGTGGTCAGACGTGTGCAAGGTCAAAAATTCTAGGGGGGGTAAAATGATTTTGCCAGGGGGGGGGTCTGGAAATCGATTCTATCTAGTGTAAAACCAGTCTCCG